CTAGGAATAGCTAAGAGCTGAATATAAAATGATGTGGCCTTAGATTAAGAATAATTTAAGAGCATTATTGATATATATTGAATATCAAATGACTTGGAATAAAATATTGAAAATATTTTGAATGTTTGAACCATATATTGTGTGCATGATATCAAATGGTTGATTATGAATTGAGATTCAATTTATGTGGATGTTCGACATTTTAGATATGCTTACTCAGCTTCACCGCTGAGCGTGTAGTGTGTTTTATTTGCTACACGCAGGTAAACAGAAAGATTAATGTGATCCTGGCGGCAGATGGGGCGAGATTGTCAGGATGGATGTGACAAGTTTTGAAATAATTTATGATATGTCAATATTAAATTTGTTGAAACACGGGCTTGTCACGTTTTCGTACTAAAGCCGTGTTCGTTTTTGTAACAGGTTTTGATAATGCCAAACCGCCGTGATGAAGTCGAACATTGAATATACAAGGCGAAGAACAAAGATAAGAGCAAGAGCTAAACGAAGACCAAGAACGAAGACCTTAATCATAGTATTGAGTCGGTCTTTATTGTGATCAAGACCGACCCAATCTTTACACCTTGGCTCTTTAGGCTAAAAACTCTCATTGCATTTCTTCCATCATAAAAATGGTTTTAAACTTGTTTAAGTCATTAAAAACACTTGGTGTTCGCCCAAACCAAAAACCAAGCCATCCAGTGTTCGGCTTTCAGAAACCAGCGTTCGGCTTTCGGTTGTCGGGTTTGGTTTTTGGCATCCGAACCAACCAAGTGGTTTTTAAGCATTTTATGATCTGCTTTCACTCTTTGGCATGTTTAAACTGTTCTCCAACAAAAACACTTTGAAAACCATCTCTAGCTTTTAGTCGTTTGACAAAAACCACGCAAAATGGCGTAAACTTGGCTAGCCGTGGTTTTTACTCAAATGACGTGATTTTTAAAGTGTCTCACTTTATTTCTTAGCCAAATACATCAAATAAGTGTTTTAAACACTTGGTTTTTATTTTGGAGAACTTTGGATTTTTCGGTCGGTTTTTGCATCGGTTGGCTAGGCCGTGGTTAAGGCAAAAACCATAGGTTTTTGGCTAACCACCCACCCAGCGATGGGAAGAACATCCCATCGATGGGTAAGTAACCCCTTAGCCAAACCAACTTCCAGAACCATGCCAAACAGCGATGGGAAGCTCTACCCATCGCTGTTCAAGCCTTGGTCCAATATTATCACAAGGCAGAATGCCCTTACCCAGCGATGGGAAGCTTTACCCATCGATGGGAACCCAGCGATGGGAAGGCTAAACCATCGATGGGAAGGCATGACCGTTGGAAGTCATTTAAGGTTGATTCTTTCCTTGTTTGGAAGTCAACCTCCCACCCAGCGATGGGAAGC